ATTTAATTGTCACTGTTTCAGTATTAAGAGGTAGGAACAAGATTGGAGAGATGGCTCAGTGGTTAAGAGCATTGACTGCTCTTCTAGAGGACTGGGGTTCAATTCCCAGCACCCACATGACAGCTCACAACTATCTGTAATTCTAAGATCCGACACTCTTACACAGATATGCATGTAGGCAAAACACCTATGTACATAAAATAAAAATAAATTATTGGAAAAAAAAACAAGAGATAGGAACTTACAGAGGCTCTTAGCGCTATTTTTTGGGAGGGGGTTAGTGATGAAAGAAGTAAGTTCCTGGTTTTTAATTAAGAAGAATGTAGCCCTGTTTCTTTTCTCTGTCACCTCATATGTTCACCTGTTCTGTCACGTTAGCATGCAGTGCCGAGGCTCTGGAAGGCACCATATTCTCAACTCCTGGGCATTCAGAACCATTTTTAAAAAGCTTAAAACAGTAAATTATCCACTCTTAGGTACTCTGTTATAGCAACACAAATGGACTCATTTGAGAATTTGGCAGGGAGTGGACAGTTATAGAGAAAAAAAAGACTGGAATTTAAATGGGAAGATCAAAAGATGTTCTAAAAGCAGGGAGTGTCAATGTTTACAGGAGCAGATAGGAATCCAATAGAGAAGAGGTGAGATTTTAGAGGATGAAATTTGGATTTGTATCTCCCAAGTATTTAGAAACATCTAAGAAGTAAACTATAGTGAGATTACACTAGTTTAAAACGTAATGGGATTGGAATTACTGACTCTCCCAAATAGAGTAGGGCAAACAGAAGAGCACAAAAGCAAACAAAGTTTCTGCCAGCCCTATCTGCTGGACTTTCTCCACTTTATCCTGAGTTTAGAGGCTTTGTCGAAGTTATTCAGAATAGATAGAAAATCAAATGGAAAAGTTTCAAATCACAGGATAACTCTCTCTCTCTCTCTCTCTCTCTCTCTCTCTCTCTCTCTCGGCTAGAACTAAAGATACATAACCTGTAGTGCCTTAGTAGTCATTGTTTTGTTGCCGTGAAGATACATCATGATCACCCTTATAGAAGAAAGCATGTAATTGGGGGACTTGCTTACAGTTCCCAATGTGAGCAAATGACTGTCAGGGTGGGGAGTTGGCAGCAGACAGGCAGGCAGGTGTGGCACTGGAGCAGTAGTTGGGGGCTTACATTTATCTTCAATTAGAGGAAGAGAGTGAGAGAGAGAAAGTGAGAGACTTGGAATGGCATGGGCTTTTGAAACCTCAAGGCATATCTTCTCCAACAAGGCCACACGACCTATTCTGAAAAAACAGTTCTACCAACTAGGAACCTAACATTCAAATATGTGAGCCCATGAGGGCCATTTTCACTCAAACCATCACAAGTAGGCCATCTTTGGCTTGAAACTTCACTCATTAGCTTAGCAACCTTTTACCTTGGGTGAAATGTAAAATTTATTTCCAAAAAAACACTAAAAGAGATAGATTATTTTCTATCTATGAAGATTAAGGTAATTGGATTAGTTGTATTACAATCAGTAAATAACTTTATGTGCAGTATATTTTATGTGCATTGGTGTTTTGATGTTTTACTGGAATGCATATCTGTATGAGGGTGTCAGATCCTATGAGACTGGAACTACAGACAGTTGTGAACTGCCATGTGGATGCTGGGGATTGAACCTGGGTCCTCTGGAAGAGCAGGCAATGCTCTTAACTGCTGAGCCATCTCTCCAGTCCCCCAATCTGTATATTTTTTTGAAACAGAACTGATAGGTAAATAGCAGTTACTCTTCATATTATTTGACCTGAAAGAAACAATCCTTGAACAAGATTTTTTTTTCCACCCTGTCGTTTCAGGATCGGCTGATCAGAGTAGACAAAGTGAGTACACAGATTTACATAGCTGGTATTATCCTCTTATCCTGAAATAGTAAGGACCAGTGTCAACTTGTAATTTTGTATTACTAGACATAAAATTCTAGTCAATAATTTGAGAAAAACCTAAGTATTAAAAAAATAGAATGGTGCTACCTTTTAAAAACTTTGTATTATATTTAAATATGAAAGCATTATCCCACTTTACTTCACTTACAGTCATAAAAACTCTATGATTGGTCAAATGGAAGCTATTTTTCCAGGTTGATCGAATGGGTAACCAACCAATTGAAGACACTGGCTCATGAAGCAAATGCTGGGGTGCTTTCTATATAATCCTGACAAAAATAGTAGGTTTTATTAGCTCATTTATTTTTGTTTTGTTTTTGAGACAGGGTCTCATTATGTAACCCTAGATGGCCTGAACTCACTATGTAGACCAGGCTAGTCTCACAGAGGACTGCCTACTTGTGTTTCCCAAGTGCTGGATTTAAAGGTGTGTGTCAACACTCCCAGCAAGAGTCTTACAGCATTATGTATCTTAGAGATTTGTTATTAGTTGTTTAGTTTAGTAGTTCTTGTTAGGGTCATAGTTTTTGATAGTGGTTGAATCACAATCCTTTCTCCAGGATGTGATGGAAACATATATTGATGCGTATTTTAATGGCTACTCTTCTGAAAGACACGTGAATACAAAGCTCCTGATACAAATCTTGGTTAAATACATATGTTAGACCAACCATACCCCAAACCAGCCTGTTGGGTATGATTTATCCAGAAAGATTTTTGTGTTTGGTTAGTCAAGTGTCTTGGGCGTTTTTTATGCAACAAGATGTATGTATTTTTAGAACACCTTTGTAATATGGATTAAAGGTTAAGACTTGATTACATAACCAACAGGATGCAAGGTATGTGTCAGCAGTCATAATAAGCCAGTATCTTATGAAGGAACTTTAAATTTAGAAGCTGTAACATTGGATTTCTTTGCCTTCCTGAAAGAATTTGCAAGCAAATAACCAGGTACTTTATACCTTAGCACAGAAACATAAGAGAATGAGCCCTACTATCCAGCAGCCCAGAGTTGTATAAAACTACTACTACAGAGAAACAGAAACAAGACAGAAGCAGAACCTTCATTTGGTCTAACCTTGTTTTGAAACAGAAGTTCTGACCTATGATGTCATTTCTGGAACAGAAAAGCAGAAGTCTTTTCTACATTGTTTATCTTTTTTTTTTTGGGGGGGGGCATGGTTTTAAGAGGAACAGAGACCTTCTTTTTAAGGAGTTACTTGAATTCACTGCTTCTTGTGTTGCATTTACACATATATATCCAGCTTCCAATTTTTGAAACTTAAGTCTGCATTTTTAATCATTATAGGCAGTTTAACAACAACCAGGGAAAGTAGATCATGGAAATGTACTCCTTCCACGTGAAGTCCCAATACTAGTTAAGTCTCAGGTTTGTTCTTTTTACAATGGTTTTGAAAATTTTCCAATGGTCTCTTGTCCACTTGCCCCTCTTCTTGGCAGACGCAGGTGTTGACACTCTCCATGTTGCTGATGTAGTCAGCTCAATCAGATGACTGCAGAAAACTCTCATTATTCAATCGTATTCGAGTCTCTGCTCTGGTTTTAAGTCAGAGCTTTTGGCATTATAGACCAGGGCAAATAAATCTTGATGCTACAGCAGCGATAGGCTACCAGGAGAGGCCCGCAGGATCTTAAGTACAAGTTACACAGCGGGGGCTTCTCTTTGAATGACAATGAACTGGGAGATTAGGGGCAAAGGAAGAAGGTCTTCATTCCCACTTAGGGAGGAGGACACCTTTTCTTTCCTCCATAACTGGATGGGAAGCCTGAATCAGGGATGCCTTGGCCTTAGGAAGGTTACTTGGGCCGGCCACCTCAGAGTGGCACGCAGTTCTGACACCCACATAAATACACTATAGGTCATGTAATTGGCCGGTCCCTTGAGCCCCGCGCGCCCAGAAGCCTCGACAACCCGTGGCCCATAACCCATTCCCCCCGCAGCGTCAAGGCGAAGCGACACCGGGTGGCATGGCGAGTGGATTTCCCGCGCCCCGGGTGGCATGGCGAGTGGATTTCCCGCGCCCCGGGTGGCATGGCGAGTGGATTTCCCGCGCCCCGGGTGGCATGGCGAGTGGATTTCCCGCGCCCCGGGTGGCATGGCGAGTGGATTTCCCGCGCCCCGGGTGGCATGGCGAGTGGATTTCCCGCGCCCCGGGTGGCATGGCGAGTGGATTTCCCGCGCCCCGGGTGGCATGGCGAGTGGATTTCCCGCGCCCCGGGTGGCATGGCGAGTGGATTTCCCGCGCCCCGGGTGGCATGGCGAGTGGATTTCCCGCGCCCCGGGTGGCATGGCGAGTGGATTTCCCGCGCCCCGGGTGGCATGGCGAGTGGATTTCCCGCGCCCCGGGTGGCATGGCGAGTGGATTTCCCGCGCCCCGGGTGGCATGGCGAGTGGATTTCCCGCGCCCCGGGTGGCATGGCGAGTGGATTTCCCGCGCCCCGGGTGGCATGGCGAGTGGATTTCCCGCGCCCCGGGTGGCATGGCGAGTGGATTTCCCGCGCCCCGGGTGGCATGGCGAGTGGATTTCCCGCGCCCCGGGTGGCATGGCGAGTGGATTTCCCGCGCCCCGGGTGGCATGGCGAGTGGATTTCCCGCGCCCCGGGTGGCATGGCGAGTGGATTTCCCGCGCCCCGGGTGGCATGGCGAGTGGATTTCCCGCGCCCCGGGTGGCATGGCGAGTGGATTTCCCGCGCCCCGGGTGGCATGGCGAGTTACCGGTCTCTGCATAGATGGCGTGGCCAGGGTGGGAGCGTGAAGATCTGGGGGATTCGGCACCGAGAGACCCGACTGCCAGCCAGAGGCCGTTGGGCAGCCATCCGGTTGTTTTTAACTGCTACCCGGTTGTCAGGCCTCTCTGCCTCTCCTCTGCAAGCGTGCTGCCTTCCTTTTTGCTCGTCCCTGTCCAGGGAGAAGGGTGCAGAGAGAGAGAATGCTGCACTCGGCCATGAAAAGGGGTGGGGGAGCAACGGAAAGAAATACTCAATACGGTTCGCCAAGGTGATGGTACTGAAAGGGATGGAGAGAGGGTGGACGAAGTCCATTCGAGGCACCACTGAGAGGGTGGGGGTGGGCGACCGGATGTTGATATTTTCACACCCTCGGGACGTAACTGAGAAAAGTGTAAGGCGAGGTGAAGACACATGTTTAATTCTTTTTTTTTTTTTTTGAGACCCGTAGGCTTTTAGACGTTTCTGTGGGTTCCTCTTGGGGGGAAATGTTTTATGTCACTGACTTCGAAGTGTAAAGTAGAAGTCATTTATAGTGTAAAGGAAATAATGTGTACAGGGGGGATGAATGAAACTGTTTTTCCTTAATTCGAATATTGGAAAAACGGATTAACGAGAATTGTGAGTTGATTGTTGATTGCATCTCCCTTATAACCAATTCTTTTTACTTACTTTTGACCTATTCACCATCCTCTAATGCCCTAGCTAATAACGGCATGGCTATGTCACCCACTTCTTGGTTTCTACCAAATTCGACCAGGTTATGTCAATGATGTGAGTAGATTGAATTTCCTGTTACTTGTATTTGGAAGACTCTGAATCGTTAATGATTTTTCCCTCCATCTTTGCATTTGAGGTAATTTGTGGTAACTGGAAGCATCACTATTTTGTGTATGAGAAAATAAACTTGTAGAGCTGTAGAAGTTACCAAAGGGGTAAGAGATGCTTCATTTACTTGGATTAGGGTTTGCTTTATTATTTCTCTGCAGATTACTTTCTTGTAATCATTATGTTGTTTCATGCCATTTTATTTTTTGGTGAATGTGGGTTGGCTGTATATCAACATATATAGGCTTTATGTGTTAACTTAAAACTTGGAAGCATAATAAATATAAGTTTTTGCAAGTCTTAACTATGGCTGGTAACTGAAACCTTCACAAAAATAACATGACAATTGAGATTTCTGTTACAGTTTTTTGGAGATGCCATTTTTTAAAGTGTATTGGACTTGAAGTAATTTTGGTACTTTGTTGATTCTAGGATATAGGATTATAATATTCCTTCTGCCATTAGTTTCAGCCTATACCAGAAATTCTGACACACAACAGCTTTATATTCCAAGTCAGAGTAACCTAGACAACATTCTCAAAAGTGACTTTTCACAAGAAGTAGTGGATGTCAGTACAGTGTGTACTGCCCTAACCTATAGGCTGTAAATATTTAAGTGCCTTGGATACAAAAGGGTAAAGGTAGGTAACTTTTAAAAACGTTTAAAATCTCTTATTTTTGGAGACCTTATGTCTCAGGCTGGCCTTGAACTTGTTTTATAGCTGAGGACCTTGAATGCCTCCTGCCTCCACCTTCTGAGTGCCAATTTATGAGGTTCTGGGGATCAAGCATTCACCAGTTGAGCTTCACCTTCAGCTCTGAAAAGTGGGTAACCTTTAAAGGAAATAATTAGCATTCAAATTGTTTTGCAGTTGGATTTCATGTCTAGAAGATTCCCTCAAGCTTTTCCTCTTCACTTTAAGGGGGTGTTTTTGTTCCCTTACTTCTGTAACAGGTCAGTGATTATATAAAATACCAGTGGTTATAGCAATAAATAAATGAACAAACAAACAAGCCTTGTGATTGAATTACCACTGATATCCTGAGACGTGACATCATAGGAGAAAAGAAGGGCTACTCAGCCTGCTGTTAACTGGGCAATACTGTGTTGCATACATGATCTTTGTCCCTGACAAGCAATTCCTATCAATAATAGTTATATAGTAAAAGATTCCAAAGGCCAAATTGTAAACCAGAATGGGCTTATTCGTGTGTTTGAAGATTCTAATCCCAGTAAGTCTACACTGATGGTTAAAACCAGACTACCAGTGGGCTTCTGAATTCTTAAGTCTTCCTAAGTCATGTCATTCATGAGACAGCATATTTCCTTAAGCACTGATACTTAGAACTGTACTGCCTAATAAGTTTTCAGACTACATGGCTTAAGTAGATGATCAAAGATACATTCAAAGATACACTCATTTCATCCAGAGCCAGGATGTCACAGGATTAAAATACTTAACGACCTCAGAAACTGCTTGAATACATGTGCATCACCCCACACACCCATGTGGGTACCAGTTGAGTGCATTGCTCATTAGTGGATTTTTGTTTTCAAACATTATGTTAGGGCTGGTAAAAAAGTTCAGCCTGATGACCTGAGTTCAGACTCCAGGATATTCATCATGGGAGGAGAGAACCAGTTCTTGCATTATTTTAATTAGCCAGCCATCTGAACTTTTATCAGAAAAGAAAACCCTCTGTCTGCTCATTTCTGTACTACCACCTTCCCACTGTGACTCCCCTTCCCTGGTGGCCTCTTAGTTTAGGGTCCTCAGGTTGAGTTTTTTGTTTTGTTTTATTATGCCCCCCCCCTCCAATATTCTAAGGTTAGATATTCTAAGGTTAGATATGGCAGGAATTTAGCTTAAACTCCAGTGGTTGCTTCCAATCACAGGTAAACTGGTATGAGATTGGAATGGTTTCTTAAAATAGTCACATTTTCTTGCTTATGTCTTAATATTACTTGATTTAGGTCCGTTTTAGGATTCAGTGACTCTAAAAAAAACTACAATTATACAGATGTATAGTTAGATAGCCTGTATTGGAAAAAAATTGTTTAAAGCTGCACTATTAAAACAAATTCTGTGGTAACAGTGACTGGCTTCCCTAAAGGAGAAAGGGGCATGGCTGAGAAATAGTAAATATTTGAAAAGTGCAGCTGAGGTGGCATTGGTCTCTTAGTTGATGTGTTACCAAATGGGATTGTTTCAAATTTCAACTAAAAATCTTGGAAGATTTAATTCTCATTTTATACAAATGGAAACTGCGTCATGGGTCAGCATGAGATCACAGCTTGTCAGTGGCAGTTAAGAACCTGCTTTGCATAGCATAGAAACGTGAGTACCAAGAATTATAACACGAAGGAAGAATTCTCTGCTCCTTCAGAACTATATATACTGCTTTCTGCAGCCTGGTTAGGATGTAGAAATTGTGTCTCACTCATGGAAAAAGCACTACAGAGCATTTTGTACAGCCACATTTTGATAAATAATAGTTACTAGAGTGTCACAAGACCCAAAATTGTGGAGAAAAAGATTCATGTTTCTTAATTAAACATTGAGAATCAGTGTCTTCATTAAAACATCTGAAAAGCATAGGAGATGGGGATTTCAGAGGGCCATCAGGGATGCTGGAGTTTGGGGCAGACAGGCTCACAGAAATTTTTAAATGGCCCATTCTTTACATGCTTTGCCATTTACTATTCTACTAGTTCATCCTTACACGCCATTTTATAGGCTTTGGATGAATAGAGTCACAATTTAAATGATTAAAAATGGGCAGTATAAGAATACAATAGTAATTATGTGTGTTTTTGTAGATTGGTAATTTCCTCTTGCAGGTGACTAAGGTGGTACTGCTTTGGTGTTGTTTTATTAGGCATAGTTTTCCAATTGCTTCTAAACATATTATCTAATTGGGTTCTCACAGGAGCTACAAAGCAGAGTAGGATGCATCGTTTTATGGATGCAGAATCAGAATTTGCCAGTTCATATGGCTCAAAAAGGACAGCCTGGTCAGATGCTAGTGTTTTTGTGAATATTAATTTTCTTTTTGAGACACACAAGACCCCCGTAATAAAATTTCCTCCATTACCATCAAAGTAGTTTACAAAACTATCAATTTGTAACATAGCTTGCATTTGCCAAATTGGTAAAATCAGATTCTAACTCTTTCTCATTTATAAAGATAAAGAGTTAACAACTGAAGGTTTTTTAAAGTCACTTTTGCTTCCACCAGTATCACAGAAAGCTAGGAATCTCTGTATTTATCGTGCCACTCCATTCTCTGACAGATTGTAGGGAAAGGTTGTATATTAACTTTCATTGTCACATGTATATATACTTTTTAATTTTGGAGGAAGCAGGAAAGAGCCAGTTAAGCTTGTGCTTACTGAAACAAAGAAAAGCAAACTAGTGTGGAAACCCAGAATTGGACAAGGCACTCAAGATCTATTCTTTCTTTATACGTGTGGTTAATATTATATTGACCAGCTGGTTGTAGTGGTATTGGCTTGTAGTCTCTAGAATGCAGTACTCCAGAGGGAAGCTGAGGCAGGAGGATCTCCACAAGTTTGAGGCTAGTCTAAGCCACATGGTGAGGCCCTGACTCAAAACCCAAAACAGCTGCAACAAAATTACACCAATCTTTTGGGAAGCTCGGGTATTGAATTCAGCCACTGTCTGATTTCATATCCTCTGCTCTATAACCTAAAATAATTGCTTAAGATACTTGCTTGTTTTGAGGTCAAAGCAAATTCTTAGCTTAAGGGATAGACATACACTTTAAACTTCTCCATGTGTGGAACAAAGTTGGGTTTTTTTTCCCGGTCACACACCAGCTTTTTTTTTTTTTTTTTTTAAAGCTACAGTAATAATATTACAGGTGGAATATCTCTAGTATGAAAATCTGCAGTCTGAAACTGCAAATCTGAAACTTTGATTACTTGATATGATGTCACAAGCTGAAAATTGACACCTGGTCTTACATGAAGAGTTGCAGTCAAAACATAGGCACACTCAAAAAAATCAAAATTAATATCAGTTTATGTGATTGGGGTGTGTGTGTGTGTGTGTGTGAAGCAAATGAACTTGAGGATAGGGTCTTTTGCTTTTTGAGACAGGGTTTATCTGTAGCTTTGGAGGCTGTCCTGGAACTAGCCCTTGTAGACCAGGCTGGTCTTGAATTCTCAGAGATCCGCCTGCCTCTGCCTCCCGGGTGCTGGGAATTAAGGCGTGTGCCACCACTGCCCCTCGAGGATAGGGTCTTATCCTCAATATCTCATTGTTTGTGTGCAAATGAGCATTTCCAGTGAAATACACTAAGCATGTTTAAATGCAAAACTAAAGTAGACCTAAGAAGGAAAGGTACTGGCTGCTTCTCCCTCATGTCCTCCTCACCCCTCATCTCCCCTTCTCATTCTCCTAGCTCCCTCCCCCCTCCTCCCGTGCTCCCAATTTGCTCAGTATATCTTGTCCCTTTCCCCTTTTCCAGGGGACCAGGTATGTCTCTCTTAGGGTCCTCCTTGTTGACTAGCTTCTCTGGTGGTGACACAAAGGTAAATTTTAAAAACATTAAAAATAGACATTTGTGTTTTCTCATACTAAACATTCATATATGCTGTGAATGCTGTGCCACATAGATAACATAGAGAGCAAAGTAAATTCAAATGCATGGGCTCTTGTCTAATAAAAACACAATTAATGGTATATCAACTCATTGTTGGTTAATTGTCTTAGCTTTTTGTTGTATTCAGAAAATAAAATGAAGCAAATGTCTTTCTTCAAAGTAGCTCCGTGGTAGAGTACAAGATGCTGGATTCAATCTTAAGCACTGTTGAGTTGTGCTCAATGAAATTCATATTTCCAGGGCTGAAAGCATCGCTCAGTGGTAGAGCATTTGCAAGGCCATGGGTTCAGTTTGCCTATTTTTTGATAATATATTTCTCTTTACCCATTATAATAATAAAACTTGCAAATTCAAACACTAGTAGAGTGTGAAGTAAGTATTCTGGAATATAGACCTTAAATGACTATGGTATATTAAAAATAATGAAATATCCTATTTCTGTGTTTTTGATGACAGATCTCATTAAATTACTCCATATCCTACAGTTATGTGTAAAAATGGAATGAATAAAGTCCTAACAAAGAAATCAATCTTTTTATAATGTGACTGGGACTAATAGACACATGCAATTCTCTGTATACATCTTTACTTTTTTAGAGTTAGGTTCCAGGTACACTTCCTGTATGCCTCATGCTAGGCTTTCCTCAAGAACCCACCTCAATTTAATACAGCACTCTCATTCTTTATAGCTCTTGGCTAGTTAGATGAATACCTTGCCACCGGTGACCTGTTTTTGTTTTTGTTTTAATTTTTAACTTTTGTTCTAATTTGAAAAGGTGTAATGTAGTCTAGTTTTAAGTTTCTGGCAGACCATTGGCTCCTGACAACTGGTTTTTGGAGAACTTGAGTTGGAATCCTTAATAGACACAGACTAAGGATGTAGGACATAGAAGTAGGTGGTGCATTCTACCAGCTGCTCCTTCTTCAGTGTGATTTGAGAATAGACTCCCTTTACAGTGTTGCCAAGTACTTCCCTGTTATGTTTTATTTATTTATTTTCAAAGACTCCCCCTTTTGTACGTTTTGAGACTAATCTTTAACGAAGTTCCCTTTATGTAAAGTTATTTTTAAAGATAAGATCAAGATGGAATATGTGTATGGTTACATTTGTTGAGTGATCATAATGTTTGATGAACAAACCTATTAGCTTTTGTCTTCTACACTGCTGTTTAACTTCAATTTCTTTTTTAAAAAGTTGATCCAAGCAAGAGGATATGTGCATATTGGAGGTCAGCCAGGCTATAAAGTGAGACCCAGTGTCAGAGTTTTTTAGAAGTCACATGTTACTTTTGGTATCTGAAGAGATTTAGCATCCGTGCCATTTGT